AGTTCCTGAAGAGACTCCACAGTAACGAAGTCCCCGCAGTTCGTATCTGGGATCCAGAGCCATTGCCTTCGAGCTGTTATCATTAAGATCAATAGGAAATCGCTACTCCATTGCGCCTTTTACTCTTTGTCTGAACTGCCCGATTACCAAAAGTGCATCCATCTTTCTCGCGTGACAGATGTTTTTTCATATCCCTTGATGTATGGATTCTTTATCGATATCGAGACATATTTTTTCGCCTCCTAAAAGATCAGTAGCCTCTGCAAAAGGTTCAAGTACTGGAATCAACTGTTTGAAAATCTCCCAGTCCCAGGCTTGATTGTGAGAGCGGAGGCTTTGGTGGCATTTGTGATATTTTTATTTCCAAGGATAGCCAAAATTGGCCATTGCAATTTCTGCAACCTTACAAGCATGTTGTAAGTACTGTTCCACCTTGTGAATACATCTATTATGAGTCTTCTGGAGGTAAGCTTCATTTCCTCACACTTTTTCCCCAGTGCACTGGTCGCCAATTCACTTCTCTTAAAATGTTGCACTGTCGTCGAGCTGCTGCAAGAGGTTTTTCTATGCAGTTTATTTCTATGCCATTCCTTTATTTAAAGTTGGAGGGTGTGCGCTGAACAAGCAACACTAGCCCAACCAAATTTTCATGAAAAATATCTTTGGCTGCCTTCATATTAGATCCATTATCGCTTACTGCTGCACAGACAGCGTGAGGACTAACACCAAAGTCATTGAGAACTTCTTCTACCCACTCACAAATATTTTTTGCAGTATGTCTATCATCCAAAGGTTTCACACTTAACACACATGAACACAGATTAAATTTGGCATCAACATAATGGGCTGTAATAATATGCTTTTCACACTAGTCCAAGCATCGAAAGTCAAGCTCATATGCTTATTGTTTTCAAGAACTCTCTTAAGCTCCATCTTTTTTTCACAATATTCTTCCTCTACACGTCGTGTTATGGTCCTCCTGGATGGCAGTGAATAATTTAGTGCAACATGTCCCATTAAGAGCTTGAAATGTGTTCCTTCTATTGTGCTGAGCGGGCGCATATCCTTTACAATGAAATCCACAACTAGAGAAGTAATCTTTTCATGCTGAGCAGGTAGGACGGGGTGAATAAGTTCCAATTTGGACTGTTTACTAGAGAACTCGTCCAAATCACTTCGATTATCAGGGTTCAAACAAATAGTTACATGCCTTCTTTTAACACTTTCGATGCCACGATCAGTTTTTTTAATTTTACCGTTCCGTGCCAAGGTGAAAACGAGAGAGTTCTCTCCCAATTATTCTCTCTCGTATTTAGTTTTTAATTGATCGGGAAAGGGGCGAACCTAGTGGTGTCATGAGTTTTCGTTCTTTCCGACACATCAGTCGTAGGTGAAAGGACTCGCCTACGCATGCGTATCTCGCCGGAATTGCTCTCTCATGCTGAATTTTCTTGTAGCCCTATCAATAATCAATAATACAACAAATATTTCGAATATATTTATTTACATTGCGTGACATTTAAAATAAAATAGAATGTTATCGTGCATTCAGATATAATTTACGTTACATAGGCACATATTCAATCGATAATATAACTGGATGATTTGAATGTCTTTCTATGGACACTTTCGCAACGATTGTAGGATAAGCCATTGAAATTTTATAGCCAAATATATTTGATTTTTTGTAGCTTTGACTGCGTCGCTACGTCAACCTGACGTTTTCGTCAGCGAAATGCTTCGTCACGTCATGCACGATATCACTTAATCACGCAGGCGCAACAGAGGGTATCGATTTTTGCTAACACGTAACGCCGAGATGTTATCATTCAAATTGTCCGTGCAAGATCATTATTTAACCCGATATTATATGTGTGTAGCGTTAAATTTGACTGTCAGCTCAAGCCCCATAAACTTGTGTCAGCACCAAAAAGACATAAACTATAACCCGATGTTACGTATTATAGGTGTGTAGCGTTAAATTTGACTGTCAGTTCAGGCCCCATAAACTTGTGTCAGCACCAAAAATACATAAACCAAATACTGGTTTATCTGTACATAACAGATCAATAAAGAATATGCGACCATAATGGACGTCCTATCATGTTGTGCAACTCAACATAATTCTCAAGGCGGTAGGAGTTGCAGGCTGCTTGCATGAAATCTGCCTTCTAAATTAGGGATAGCTGAAGTCAATTCACAATCTTTAAACCAAAAAATAAAGATTGCCAAGTCCCAGTGAATCTTACAAAAAAAACTCTGATACAACGAGAATCGAATAACACCAAAACATGTGTAATAAATTTCAGGTGCGTTTGTATCACTCTTGAGTTTTCGTCAGGCGCTTCCAGATTTGATTTTTCAGTCAGTAAACGATGAAATTCAAAGTCTTTACTTGCCTAGGCTAACATTTCATACAATCTGATATTTTTTGCAAGTTGATATTTGAACAAATATTGGCGTGCAAACGAACCATTTCCAAGTGTAATTTCTACATTCATTTTACGCATCCGGTGTTTCAAAGATGACATGGTAAAAAGTGTTAAAGCTTTATCGAATCTCGTCAGTTGATTTCCTGTCGAGAACGTGAACACACGATTTTCCGTAATTGTTATCTCACGCAATTTTCGACGCAAATCGTCTCGGCTGCACGTAGTCCCGTCTTCGTGAAGCCAGTCACGTAATCGCTATTGCGTAGCTACGTAATCGATACGTTATGGCCGCTCATTGAACTTGTTTATCCGTCACAAAAATGTAGGATTGCATATTTTTCTATAATTATGGTTATACAATAGCTACGGAAGTAATTCAAGTATCAGCTGACAGCATACGAGAAGCTCTGTGTTATTGGTAATACATTTCACTGACAAGTAGAAAAAAATATGTTCCGTCTAAAATCAATTTCTCCCTTTTTGACAAACTTTATTCCAAACTGTAACATTTTACCTCGCAGGTCAACAAAATTTGCTTTCGTTTTGAATGTCCGTCAATTCGTTACCCAAAATTGTTAAAAAATTATAAACGTTCAAAAATACCAAAATTTCGAAATATTTTATCGTCCTTCCGATAGAGAGCAACTTCGCTCAAAGACGTCAGGGATCAAAAAGTTGAACATTTTATGAAACACTTACTTGTGATATGCGCAATTTTTACTCTGTTTTTTAAACATTTTGAATAGATTATCATGCATGAATTACAATAATGCTAAACATGCATATACAAATTCTTTCCCGGATTAGTAACGTTGGACTACGTCATGTTTTTCTACATCTTCGTAACATGCTTGGTAATATGATCTCTCACACCTTTCAATCATTTCACCGGAAAAAGTTGAAACCAATTGTGTTGGCGTCAATCGGTCTCGTACAAATTTTTGATCATCATTTGCAGTTAATATGTACATCGACCATGTTTAAGCAAGTTGATAATTTACTTAATGGCAGACGCTCCTTCCATCATGGTATTTTTTAATGACGCGATTGCCTGACGACGTCATTCTTTCCCCCCAACTTGGCAACAAGAGAGAGAGAGAAGAGAGAAAGATGGCAAATACCTGAACTCGAACTTCTTAAATCTATTAAACTTTTTTTTTTGAAAGACATATAGATACGTCAATGGCACGGAACGGTTAGTGCCAAATGACGTATAAATACGTCCTTGGCATCGAAAGTGTTAATATGGGCTAATAGATTACTAGTGATAGCATGATAACTAAGTTTGTCTCCGCATCTCTTGCACACGACGTACTGGCGTTCGTCATCGTCTTTGCCTGGGGGAGTAAAGTGGCGCCAAACGGGAGATTTCCTATTCATCATACTGTTGCCGAGTATACATTATTCTAGAAACCCCTTTAAAAATACACAATAATTCTGCAAAAAAACAACGCAAATTAGTCTTCTATACCTTCACACCTGCAATGTCGGCAATCACAAAAACAATACGCTAGAGTAAAACGGCCTGACCTACAACTGCCTATCCTATCCTAACTGACGGCGCAACCGATCTTCCCGCATTCTGAACAAATTACGCGCCATAAAAGCGTGCGTGACAAAATCAAGCCGGCGTAGCCCGTGCGAGAGATAATAGGAGAGAGAAGCTCGGCCGTTTGTCCTGCTCACAGCTGAGAGCAGAGAGAGGGCTTTGGAGAGGTGCAAGTCTGGTCATGTTCAAATGCAGCCTACAGATGTGAGAGAAATAAAAAAAAAAACAGCGATCGAAATGATGTCCCGCCGAGTGATGGCTCCACAAAAAAAAATCGTTAATTCGCCTCGACCATTGGTGACAGAAAAAAAAACAAGATGGCGGCGATTCGAAATTCCCGTCTGAACCGATTCGAATAATTTACTATTCGATTCGATTCGAATATTCAATTCGAATTGCCCAGCCCTACTTACCAGTACCTGACATTTGTTCGCAGAACAGTTCTTTCCTGTCATATAAGAACACAACTCATTTCCTCTTATCAAATAAAAAAATAAAGGTAGGCTAAAAAATTTATATTGTTTACATCAAAACTGTAACGAAAAGATGAGAGAGTAAATCACTGCGGTACCGTACCTCAATTTCAATTTGCTCTTATCAAAATTAACAAATACGATAGGCTAAATTTGTTAGAAAACCTGCATTACTGCAATAGTAAGATCGCGAAAGGAATAAGTCAATTTCACGCGTATCTGCCAGACGCTTCTTCTCTGCAAAACCAACTAATTCGATTTATTACGGTATTATAACAGCAGATACCACAGTCTACAAATATATTCACACCAAGCGAAGCAATGCAGTACGGTTTACCGTACCTTTAGCATCACAGGTAACCTCAAAAAACTTACTAATTTTGAGCAACGATTTTCAGAATCCGCCTTTACGCCGACGTTCGATAGCACCTGATCATGGGTCCGTTATGTCCACTACGTGTCCAACAACATAATAACAAAACGATCGTTATGTCCACTAACGTGTCCAGTAACGAGTCCAATATTTTTTGTAGGGTCAAAGTTCGGTATTTTTCGCTATGACATTCGGATATATATTTCGTGTGGCAATTTGCCGCGATAACAGAGTTTTCCAGTTTAACTGTCTGTCTATATGTAAGCTTGAAAATACTGAAATATGGCAACTCCAGATGGCAGACGAGTGAACAGACCTTATAGAAAAGCATCAGTGAGTAAAACATTCAGATAATTGAATGAATATAATGATAATAAGATCTCTCTCAGAGATAATAATGAATTTACAGCATTCAAGTATTCAAAATCATTTGTTGTCTGTTTACTTTTTGTGTTGTTCTGTTTTACGTCAGAGTGCCAAAATAAAAGGATTGATTGATTAATTTGATGACGCCATGATGCTGTGATATAAAGAACTATAGAATAGGTACCGGTAATTCCCAGTAAGACCAACACATAAATTCTGGAACTTTGCTAAAACTATGAATGACGTTTAAAAAATTACCGTAAAAGCGCCTAACTTCGGACAAAATTACTATATTTTCGTCAATAACTCGGCCATTTATTGTCCAAACGGTGCCAAAATTGCTCGGTAAAACATTCGTGCGGTAATTTACATTCCCTGCAAATTTCGGTTCAATTGGACTATTTTTACTATTGAAATAATCGATATTTCTTGCCATCTGACCGTTATCCTTCACTGCCCTAACTTCGGACAGTCATTTTCTTCACTGCGTAACCGCGACGCACAGAGAGAAAGAGGCTTCCGATGCGGATGACGTAATCACGTCGTTGCGTGAAGATAAGACGCTCGATCGTCGTCGTAACGTAACATTGACGTCACGACGAAAATGCATTATTTGAAACTTCCGTCGTCCTATGTTTACATCTTTCGTTCGTTATTTTCGATACTTCAGATGAGTATAATAACACGTTAGTCATTTTAATCAGGAAATGCATACGTAAATATATCTGATGCAAACCGTTTCAATCCACAATGAAGTATTTTAACAGGCTTCTATCGAAGTCTTTGAAGTATTAATATTCTCGACGGATAGCTTTTTTTTATTCTGCGCGGTTATCTTTATAAATGATAATTTATATCAAACACACGGTAAATCCGATTGTGAAGTTTAATTCAAAATTCAACTTAATCTTGTAAACATGTAGGTCCCGTTTATTTGTTGGAGATTAAATTTATTTTTAATTTCGAGTGAATAAAATTCACCCAGGCCGTATTCAATACCTGTCATTTCGACTACTAATCATAAAATAATGGTTAAGTCAGTGCACTGTGCCATATGGACGTTGGAATTATCATAGTTTTATATATTCGATTTTTAACGTCATCGATTAAGTGTGACATGTATTTTCATTAATGTAATTTTGGCATATATTCTTACATGACCGAACAAAATACAAAAATATTACATTGGAACGCCGTCTTTATCTTAACGGAAATTGTCATATTGGCTCCGTTGTGTCTGGCGTCAAAATTCATTTCCGCGACGCAGTGTGACGTCGTGTCGGAAGTGAGCGAAAAATAATCTACGTGAGGTTGACGTAATTTTTGACGCTGCGTGAAATCTTAATATTCTTACGGAATTTATAATTCAGAATTTTAGGTTTTATTTAAATCTCGTACGACATCTTGCGATCACTCAAATAAATTATATACATTGTTGTCGCCCTCTACCGAATGATGGTATTTTGACGATGATAGCTTCAGTAGGAGCGACGCTCTGCGCCGTTGATTGCCGGGCAGTCAATTTTCGACAAAATTCCCGTTTTTTTACCAAAAAAATAATTATGCAACATTAAAAAAGATGAGAATAGATGTAAATATAACAGCGCAACCTATAATAATTAAAATTAGCAATATACGGCGCGTTTTAGCCAAGATATGGCCGTTCAAAAATTTTGTCCGAAGTTAGGAACTGTCCGAAGTTAGGCGCTTTTACGGTAGGCTATTGGAATTTTACATGACGGAAAAAGTCTGGCCTCTTTTATACAGTACTGCAGTACGACACAGTTCCCTAATTTCATGAATAGCCCCTTCATTAAAAGACATCAATTATAACAGTGAATGCAAACCCCTCTTTTCCAAGACAAAATTGACAAGCCACCAGTCTGGCTTTCATGGCCATCTTGAACGAGAAATCGGGCGTGCAATCAGAAATTCCCGCGTGCAAATACGAATTTCTGGCGTGCAATTATAGCTCACGGCGTGCAAAACAACTGCGCCCGCGTGAAACTGACTTCGACCTAAGATACCTTTCAATACATCCGCGTAAAATTACCGGTATTGGATACAAAATATGTTGAATCATAGCAAAAATGGACGTTTGACCTTTGACCCCAAACATTATTTCTATATTATTGTCACTAATTTTGAGAGATTGTGCGACTTATATACCGGTACTGTTCAGTACATCCGTGTAAATTATTGTATAAAAAAAAGGCTGAATCAAAGCCATAACTGGCCAGCGACGGTGAGGAGGCGATCTTTCTCATTCAACACGATATGGTTTTTTGCTTCGCATTTTTCGGTCATGCCAAATCTTGCAAGCTAGTATTAGTCGACAATTGTGAAGTTATAATTTTTTGGCATCTTTCTATTACTAGATTATTGATCTAAAAACTATTTAAACCGATTTACATTGGTGAGAAATTGCAAATTTTCGGCGTGCAGAATTGAATTCGCTCGCGTGCATTTTTGTTGAGCGCTAGCGCCCTCGGGCGTGCATCTGCCATGGAATCCAGTCTGGCAAGCCAGTACTGCGCAATCTAAAATCTTCGTGTAGCAAGTTTAATAATAGTGGAAACCCTTGTAGGTATTTGATTACATTTAAACAATATAATGTAGACTTTCGAATTTGAATGTAAACTCAAGGAACCCAGATTGAAAACCGCTAATCTAAGTGCTTCGAAAACTCTTTTTTCTTGGTATTTGAATGAGCCAATCTTTATTATATTCCTCTATTACAGGAATATCTAGCAACCAAGCAATCACCGTATAATGGGCCCAAGACAATCGTGTGAGTATGATTGCGTTTGTGCTGATGTGGACTGAAGTCTTATTAGCTTCGTTGCTTGCTAATGTTGTCAACTAAATTCCAAATGTCCAGTCCAGTGGTTCTCAAACTATCCTGATTAGTGACCCCCTTCCAGAAATTTTCAAGGCCATTCAGCTCCTGCTGTTTTATAGAAATCACACAGTTTTTGAGTATAAAACGTAAGAAAATCAAGTAAAGAATATTACAATCAAGACATTTAACTAATTTACCTAGTGAAGGCTTTCGTAGGCTTGTAGCCTCCCTGGCAGGCAGAGCGTTTGAAAATCCTAGTTCAGTTAATTTGATTTCAATGTAACCGAGCGGAAAATAGCAATCATCATTTTACCGGATTTCAAATAAATTTCTTTCAAATCAAATTTTGAAATAGAATGTGCAATGTGAATATGAATCAAATTTTGTTTATGTGACATGTTTCGAATCATTTTAAATTACTTGTTTATAAGACTCAGTTTTGAACAATTTATCTTTTCTTCTTCAGAGCTCTGGAAGCAGAAAACTCGGAACTTCGTGAAAAATTAACAACCTCTGTCCGAAGACTGGAAACGATGGAAGTGGAATTCGAACAAAGTCGCGAATATTTTGCGACTCAACTTGATGTGGTTCAGGATAAACTGAACAGAACAACACAAGCCTTGAAATTGTGAGATTTTGTCTTTGTGTATATTGTTATATTTTTAGTGAGGTGCAGAGGGGGGAATTGTGATAAAAGAATAAAATGTTATAATTTTTGTCTGGTTACCACATATAGTAACACAGACCTCAAAATTTGTCTTTGTGTAGGATATTTCTATTTTTTCCAGATATAGTAAAAAAAGCCTATATCTCTGCATAGAGTATTTTTATTTTTCAGGGGGTATGGTAACAGCCAGGGTGGGGCGGATGGAGTCACAGAGCCCGATAGAGCTCAAGCCCACCTCACTATAATGAAGCTGGATCCAAAGATACATGAAATTTTAATTCGACCCCGAACCATCTAGTGTTCCCTTCAATTATTATTATCTCTGTTTTAAATTTGAAATTATTTTTAAAACTGAGACAAACAAGCATGTTATGACTAAAGGGTACCGCGATTTCAAAAAAAGTGTTCCCCTCACATTAAATTAAAACAGCAAATTTGGGATGAAATAAGGGTTCCCCAATGGGCTACAGAGCAGTTGGAGAGAAGCCACATTGACAGGCTCAAAATTTATCTCAAGGGAATTTCGTTTGTATACTTTTCCCCTATAATAAAATTCTACGTTCTCTTCATATTTTCGTACGAGAAATACCACTGGAATGTGACAGGGGGTCCATGAGTGCTAAAACCTTGGTAGGGGTTACGAGCCATAAACGGTTGGCAACCACTGCCTTAGCTCATAGATAATAAAAAGAAATGTTTGCCCGACAAGAATTCAGCAAAATGAGTGAAAGGGTTTATTTGTACTTGCTTTATTTTTCAGAATGCACAAGTTACTCTGAACTCCAGTCTCTATCAACTATGAATTGGAACAAAGAGTCTGAAGGTGAGATTCCTGTTGAATATAAATCTCTGAAACTTGGCAAATCAATAGAAAACTTGATGAACTTCTCTCCTGCTCTGAAACAAATAATTAATCAACTAACCCCCTCTGTTTGACCAGCGCAGCGAGTATATGCAGCTTGACAGTTGTGGCACATCCTGCTGAGCATTAGGAAAACGCTCATCTTCCCACCGCTGATTACCATACAAGGGTTTGCAAGTTCGAATCCTGTGGGGATAATTAAGTGTAACTTGACTCCTCCCCATTGTAGGATGCTTCACGTAACCACTGGTTGGTTACGACTTCCTCCACCTTCAAGTCCATGCATCTGAAACAAGTGACTGGCTGACTTATCCCAAGCCTGACATGGACTGGTAATTGATAAATCGGCATGCTACACCATGTGATTAAGACATCCCTTACCATAAATTTAAAAATATCATCTTAGGATTAGGCCGTTTTAGTGGCTTTTCTCACTCCACCGAAAAAAAATATTAACATCCCACTCTACGATTAAGCAATCTTGTGAACTTCAAAATTTATTTTTCTTTGCAAGCTGACAATGCATCCGCAGATGATGTCATATGCTGAAAAGGTATCATGTCGTGTTAAGTTATGGAATCAGGATTTAGATCAGCGGTTCTCAAGCTTTTTAAGCCACACCCCCTTTTTAAAATTTGTCAAGTTACCACGCCCCTCAAATGTTATATGAACCCTCTTGTGGTGCGTATTCCACTGTTTGAGAACCACTGATTTAGATTGATGTATTTTTATGTGTGTTCCACTCTGAACAAGCCAATTTGCATACCAGACATGGACTGGTGTTCGATCGTACAGCATGTGAATAGCCCAATTTATTAGTGTGCCCCCCATGCGATTGAATTTGAATGGAGCCCTATTAATTTGGTGGTCACTCGTGGCTTTGCTCAAGGATGAGTCTTTTTCACTTCTGATTGACCGATTGTCGAAATATATGGTGGAAAGGAAATTAATTAGATAATTTATTCATATGGTGTACCAGGACAAATCTTCCGGTTACCAGTCAGTCAGTGTCGGTTATGGAATTAGTTAGCCAGTTATTTGTTTCAGATGTATGAGCTTAAAGTAGTGAAAATTTTGAGTATTTCAAATTGATAAAAATCTTAGTGTATGTACTTGTTAATACAAAATTTGCATTTTCCTCATTGGGAAAATAGATCTCAATTATACAATAGGTAAATCATTTAATAAATACCAGGTCACTAAATCATTTATTATTCCACAGGTCAATCATCTTGAAGACGAAAAGTCACATCTGACGTTGGACGTTCATGAATCGACAAACAGATTAACGGAAACTCTAAGTGCTTTACAGAGAACTCAGAAATAAAATGTATGGGGGCATCCATGTAGGATGGGAATTCCCTTTGGGAGGAAGATATCATAGTATTATTGTGAAAGTCTTTTTTTGGTTTATCGAATATATAGGGTGTTCATAAAGCCTTTTTTGGTTTATCAAATATACAGGGTGTCCATAAAGCCTTTTTTGGTTTATCAAATATACAGGGTGTCCATAAAGTCTTTTTTGGTTTATCAAATATATAGGGTGTCCATAAAGTCTTTTTTGGTTTATCAAATATATAGGGTGTCCATGAAGTCTTTTTTGGTTTATCAAATATATAGGGTGTCCATAAAGCCTTTTTTGGTTTATCAAATATATAGGGTGTCCATAAAGTCTTTTTTGGTTTATCAAATATATAGGGTGTCCATAAAGCCTTTTTTGGTTTATCAAATATATAGGGTGTCCATAAAGCCTTTTTTGGTTTATCAAATATATAGGGTGTCCATAAAGTCTTTTTTGGTTTATCAAATATAGGGTGTCCATAAAGACTTTTTTGGTTTATCAAATATATAGGGTGTCCATAAAGCCTTTTTTGGTTTATCAAATATATAGGGTGTCCATAAAGACTTTTTTGGTTTATCAAATATATAGGGTGTCCATAAAGACTTTTTTGGTTTATGAAATATATAGGGTGTCCATAAAGACTTTTTTGGTTTATCAAATATATAGGGTGTCCATGAGGACTTTTTTGGTTTATCAAATATACAGGGTGTCCATAAAGACTTTTTGGTTTATCAAATATATAGGGTGTCCCATAAAGCTTTTTTGGTTTATCTATAAATATAGGGTGTCCATAAAGACTTTTTTGGTTTATCAAATATACAGGTGTCTCACAAGTTTTTGGTTTTATAATATATAGGGTGTCCATAAAGCCTTTTTTGGTTTATCAAATATACAGGGTGTTCACAAAGTCTTTTTTGGTTTATCAAATATATAGGGTGTCCATAAAGACTTTTTTGGTTTATCAAATATATAGGGTGTCCATAAAGACTTTTTTGGTTTATCAAATATATAGGGTGTCCACAAAGTCTTTTTTGGTTTATCAAATATATAGGGTGTCCATAAAGACTTTTTGGTTTATAAATATAGGGTGTCCATAAAGCCTTTTTTGGTTTATCAAATATATAGGGTGTCCATAAAGACTTTTTTGGTTTATCAAATATATAGGGTGTCCATAAAGACTTTTTTGGTTTATCAAATATACAGGGTGTTCACAAAGTCTTTTTTGGTTTATCAAATATATAGGGTGTCCATAAAGCCTTTTTTGGTTTATCAAATATACAGGGTGTTCACAAAGTCTTTTTTGGTTTATCAAATATATAGGGTGTCCATAAAGACTTTTTTGGTTTATCAAATATATAGGGTGTCCATAAAGACTTTTTTGGTTTATCAAATATATAGGGTGTTCACAAAGTCTTTTTTGGTTTATCAAATATATAGGGTGTCCATAAAGACTTTTTTGGTTTATCAAATATACAGGGTGTTCACAAAGTCTTTTTTGGTTTATCAAATATACAGGGTGTCCATAAAGACTTTTTTGGTTTATCAAATATATAGGGTGTCCATGAAGTCTTTTTTGGTTTATCAAATATATAGGGTGTCCATGAAGTCTTTTTTGGTTTATCAAATATATAGGGTGTTCATAAATTTTTTTGGTTTATCAAATATATAGGGTGTCCATAATAAAGCCTTTTTTGGTTTATCAAATATATAGGGTGTTCATAAATCTTTTTTGGTTTATCAAATATATAGGGTGTCCATAATAAAGCCTTTTTTGGTTTATCAAATATATAGGGTGTCCATAAAGCTTTTTTGGTTTATCAAATATATAGGATAGGGTGTTCATAAATTCTTTTTTGGTTTATCAAATATATAGGGTGTCCATAAAGTCTTTTTTGGTTTATCAAATATATAGGGTGTTCATAAAAGATTTTTTGGTTTATCAAATATATAGGGTGTCCATAATAAAGCCTTTTTTGGTTTATCAAATATATAGGGTGTTCATAAAGCTTTTTTGGTTTATCAAATATATAGGGTGTCCATAAAGCCTTTTTTGGTTTATCAAATATATAGGGTGTCCATAAAGCCTTTTTTGGTTTATCAAATATATAGGGTGTCCATAAAGTCTTTTTTGGTTTATCAAATATATAGGGTGTCCATAAATTCTTTTTTGGTTTATCAAATATACAGGGTGTCCATAAATTCTTTTTTGGTTTATCAAATATATAGGGTGTCCATAAATTATTTTTTGGTTTATCAAATATATAGGGTGTCCATAATAAAGCCTTTTTTGGTTTATCAAATATATAGGGTGTCCATAAAGTCTTTTTTGGTTTATCAAATATATAGGGTGTCCATAAATCTTTTTTGGTTTATCAAATATACAGGGTGTCCATAAATTCTTTTTTGGTTTATCAAATATACAGGGTGTCCATAAATTATTTTTTGGTTTATCAAATATACAGGGTGTCCATAAAGTCTTTTTTGGTTTATCAAATATATAGGGTGTCCATAAATTCTTTTTTGGTTTATCAAATATACAGGGTGTCCATAAAGTCTTTTTTGGTTTATCAAATATATAGGGTGTCCATAAATTATTTTTTGGTTTATCAAATATACAGGGTGTCCATAAATTCTTTTTTGGTTTATCAAATATACAGGGTGTCCATAAAGTCTTTTTTGGTTTATCAAATATACAGGGTGTCCACAAAGTCTTTTTTGGTTTATCAAATATATAGGGTGTCCATAAAGCTTTTTTTGGTTTATCGAATATATAGGGTGTTCATAAAGTCTTTTTTGGTTTATCGAATATACAGGGTGTCCATAAAGTCTTTTTTGGTTTATCAAATATATAGGGTGTCCATAAAGCTTTTTTTGGTTTATCGAATATATAGGGTGTTCATAAAGTCTTTTTTGGTTTATCGAATATACAGGGTGTCCATAAGTCATTTTTTGTTTATCAAATAATATAGGGTGTCCATAAAGTCTTTTTTGGTTTATCGAATATATAGGGTGTTCATAAAGTCTTTTTGGTTTATCGAATATACAGGGTGTCCATAAAGCCTTTTTTGGTTTATCAAATATACAGTGTGTCCATAAAGCCTTTTTTGGTTTATCGAATATATAGGGTGTCCATAAAGTCTTTTTTTGGTTTATCGAATATATAGGGTGTCCATAAAGTCTTAACATTTCGTAAAATTGCAAAGGGAATTTATTGATACCATACATTTTGGTTTCGCCCTCACAGATGTATTGAAATGAAAAAAAATACTAATAATGAATAATAAAATTTTTGGAATAAATCGTGGAAAGGAAAGTAATGGTTTACTTCATATACCAGGACCTCTCGTCCTGTTACCAGTCAGTGTCGGTTATGGAATTAGTTAGATAGTTATTTGTTTCAGATGCATGAACTAGATTCTGTGGAAAATAACCAAATTTTATTGGTCTGCTGTGTAAATAGCAGAGAAATCTCAAGTGAGGTTGTTCATCTTATTCCATTGAGCCTCTAAAATCCATATTTTCATGCAAATGAGGGTTTTATAGGGTTCAATTTGGAAATCATATTTGCTTTCCTGTTTATTTCATTGGATATAAGTCAGGACAATTCAGTTTGAACTTCACTCTGGTGCAATGATAACATATCTGGAAAACTTGTGGTTTAATTAACATATAAGACATGAAGATGGACAATCTCACCTTGTGACATAGAATATAACATGATTGCACACCCTCTAAATCAACGGTTCCCAAAGTATGGGTCGCGACCCACTGGTGGATACCCTAACGATCGATAAGTCATTGGTCTCCGACCGATATTTTCGTTATACTGGTTATTAGGATCGGTGGCGACAAAAAACAAAATTGAATTTAAATTCTAATCTGTGAAAGTTTCCTTTTTACTATCCTTCTCAAAGGAACAAAAAATTTAGCCCAACGGACCATGGTGTTTTTTTTTACGCATATCAGTTTTGTACATTGTACAGGACTCCCTTAATCGCGTTTGCCGAATTTAAACATGATTTAGATTTATTTTCTTTTGAAGAATAACACTATGGCTCTTTTTTGGAAGAGCTCTTTTGTGTTCATTTATCAAAAATAAAATTACATTGTAGAAAATCACGAGATTTTTTAATGAACATTATATAAAAAACCGACATCTATTGTTTTTGATTATTTGGTTTCTGCGAGACTTACTACTCCTCCTTCTTCTATGCTTTTGTGAATCCGTATGCATACAATGCAAGGATGCTGTAGCAAGAGTAGAGATAACAATCCTGAGTGATTCAAGAGTCTTGCTGCACACTAACACAAATATATTTCTGTAACGTTTCGTCTGACCATGGTCGGACATCTTCAGACATACATAGTTCAACTACGAAACGCTACTGAAATATATTTGTGTTAGTGTGCAGCAAGACTCTTATGTCACTTAGGTCTATTGTTTTTATTTGTATTTCCTATACAAAAATCAGGTGACAAATATCATAATTGTGATATCACACAATCTTGAATAGTGGTGTGATCTTCACCTTACCACTCCCACACATTTTAAATTTATTTTAAGGTTAGGGTTTATTTAAAATCAATTTAAAATTCAAATTAGGTATTATTTTCAGGCCATGTCTTATTTTCGAGGAAACACGGTAGTTTTACGATGATTAGCCATTGCTGTGTTCTGTGTTATGTCATAAAAAGTTAAATGGGTCGCCATAAGCTGTGGTAATAAATAGTGGCTTCCAACTCTAAAAAGTTTGGGAACCACTGCTCTAAATCCAATCGAAACAGAGGATTTGTGCTCATCTAAACAAGCTCGTATAACATATTAATATTGCATTGCTATTAACGGCTACGAACAGTCAGTTTTAAGTATTTCTCATTGGTATTCCAGCTTACTTTTGTTCTCCCTAGTAATGAATTAGAATTTTTTGTTACGGTTTATACAGCTCAGGTCATAAGCCATAAATTGGTCTTGTTGTAATTTCATTCCTACGCTAAAACTGATGAAGATAATTAGTTATTAGGATAATTTGGTGTTCCGCAGAAAATTTGTACATCTAAAAAGTTAGCCCTTCGCCAGGCTGTCATACCACGACTCAGTGGTTGACTTGACCCCCGCTTCTGGGTTCACTTTTAATCAACACTGATTGGCTCGAACCATCATATCATTTTTCCTCTCCATGAGGAAATCCCTTCACAAAGGTTTCACTTATTTTCAGCTGTGACTGCTGATTCAATGATTCTCCTCGCGCAAGAAGAACTGAATAGACAGCAAAAAACGGAAGAAATCAATGAAAATTTGGAAAGAAAATTGAAAACATTACAAGGAATGTCACCTCAGATTGGTGAGTGAACCAAAGCCTTAAAATTATTCTGGAAAGGGGGATTTCCCTGTTTGTGTTTGCTTACTATCTTTGCAAATCTTTCAGATTTATTTGCACCGATATCGAAACCTCGAACGAATTTTAATGACCTTTCGGACGAAGAGGAATTGGACATAATTAAGCGACTGACTGCGGAAGCCGGATTAGAAATTTCCCTCGCTAATAAACTAGATGGCAGCACAGAGCAGTATGACATGAATGTGGCGGATACGGGTGAGTTATGATAGTATAGATATATGATAGGATAGGATTTACGTATTTGTCCAGGGGTTGAGAAAAGCCGATAAGACGGCTTAACCACATGGAGAACCACGTCATCCAGTTACCAGTTCATGTCGGGTATGGGATTAGTTAGTTATTTGTTTTCAGATGCATGAACTTGATGGTGGAGGAAGCCGTAACCGACCAGCGGTTACGTGGTATCACCCTACGGCGGCGAGGAGTCCAGCAATTCTCTCGCACATAACTACCCCGCATGGGATTCGAACCTGCGAACCCACGCAGAGTATTTAAAATCAATTTAAAATTCAAATTAGGTATTATTTTCAGGCCATGTCTTATTTTCGAGGAAACACGGTAGTTTTACGATGATTAGCCATTGCTGTGTTCTGTGTTATGTCATAAAAAGTTAAATGGGTCGCCATAAGCTGTGGTAATAAATAGTGGCTTCCAACTCTAAAAAGTTTGGGAACCACTGCTCTAAATCCAATCGAAACAGAGGATTTGTGCTCATCTAAACAAGCTCATATAACATATTAATATTGCATTGCTATTAACGGCTACGAACAGTCAGTTTTAAGTATTTCTCATTGGTATTCCAGCTTACTTTTGTTCTCCCTAGTAATGAATTAGAATTTTTTGTTACGGTTTATACAGCTCAGGTCATAAGCCATAAATTGGTCTTGTTGTAATTTCATTCCTACGCTAAAACTGATGAAGATAATTAGTTATTAGGATAATTTGGTGTTCCGCAGAAAATGTGTACATCTAAAAAGTTAGCCCTTCGCCAGGCCGTCATACCACGACTCAGTGGTTGACTTGACCCCCGATTCTGGGTTCACTTTTAATCAACACTGATTGGCTCGAACCATCATATCATTTTTCCTCTCCATGAGGAAATCCCTTCACAAAGGTTTCACTTATTTTCAGCTGTGACTGCTGATTCAATGATTCTCCTCGCGCAAGAAGAACTGAATAGACAGCAAAAAACGGAAGAAATCAATGAAAATTTGGAAAGAAAATTGAAAACATTACAAGGAATGTCACCTCAGATTGGTGAGTGAACCAAAGCCTTAAAATTATTCTGGAAAGGGGGATTTCCCTGTTTGTGTTTGCTTACTATCTTTGCAAATCTTTCAGATTTATTTGCACCGATATCGAAACCTCGAACGAATTTTAATGACCTTTCGGACGAAGAGGAATTGGAAATAATTAAGCGACTGACTGCGGAAGCCGGATTAGAAATTTCCCTCGCTAATAAACTAGATGGCAGCACAGAGCAGTAAGACATGAATGTAGCGGATAAAGGTGAGTTATGATAGTATAGATATATGATAGGATAGGATTTACGTATTTGTCCAGGGGTTGAGAAAAGCCGATAAGACGGCTTAACCACATGGAGAACCACGTCATCCAGTTACCAGTTCATGTCGGGTATGGGATTAGTTAGTTATTTGTTTTCAGATGCATGAACTTGATGGTGGAGGAAGCCGTAACCGACCAGCGGTTACGTGGTATCACCCTACGGCGGCGAGGAGTCCAGCAATTCTCTCGCACATAACTACCCCGCATGGGATTCGAACCTGCGAACCCACGCAGAGTATTTAAAATCAATTTAAAATTCAAATTAGGTATTATTTTCAGGCCATGTCTTATTTTCGAGGAAACACGGTAGTTTTACGATGATTAGCCATTGCTGTGTTCTGTGTTATGTCATAAAAAGTTAAATGGGTCGCCATAAGCTGTGGTAATAAATAGTGGCTTCCAACTCTAAAAAGTTTGGGAACCACTGCTCTAAATCCAATCGAAACAGAGGATTTGTGCTCATCTAAACAAGCTCATATAACATATTAATATTGCATTGCTATTAACGGCTACGAACAGTCAGTTTTAAATAATTCTCATTGGTATTCCAGCTTACTTTTGTTCTCCCTATTAATAAATTAGAATTTTTTGTCCCGGTTTATACAGCTCAGGTCATAAGCCATAAATTGGTCTTGTTGTAATTTCATTCCTACGCTAAAACTGATGAAGATAATTAGTTATTAGGATAATTTGGTGTTCCGCAGAAATTTGTACATCTAAAAAGTTAGCCCTTCCGCCAGGCTGTCATACCACGACTCCAGTGGTTGGCTTGACCCCCGCTTCTGGGTTCACTTTTAATCAACACTGATTGGCTCGAATCATCATATCATTTTTCCTCTCCATGAGGAAATTCCTTCACAATGGTTTCACTTATTTTCAGCTGTGACTGCTGATTCAATGATTCTCCTCGCGCAAGAAGAACTGAATAGACAGCAAAAAACGGAAGAAATCAATGAAAATTTGGAAAGAAGATTGAAAACATTGCAAAGCATGTTACCTCAGATTGGTGAGTGAACCAAAGCCTAAAAATGATTCTGGAAGGGGGATTTCCCTGTTTGTGTTTGCTTACTAACTTTGCAAATCTTTCAGATTTATGTGCACCGATATCGAAACCTCGAACGAATTTTAATGACCTTTCGGACGAAGAGGAATTGGAATTAATTAAGCGACTGACGGCGGAAGCCTGATTAGAAGTTTCCCTCGCTAATAGACTAGGTGGCAGCACAGAGCAGTATGACATGAATGTGGCGGATACAGGTGAGTTATGATAGTATAGATATATGATAGGATCGGATTCACGTATTTATCCAGGGGTTGAGGAAAGCCGATACGACGGCTTAACCACCTGGAGAACCGCATCATCCAGTTACCAGTTCATGTCGGATATGGGAGATTAGTTAGTTATTTGTTTTCAGATGCATGGACTTGATGTTGGAGGAAGCCGTAACCGACCAGCGGTTACGTGGTAACACCCTAAGGCGGCGAGGAGTCTAGCAATCCTCTCGCACATTATCATCCCCGCATAGGATTCGAACCTGCGAACCCACGCAGAGTAATCAGAGGTGCGGTGGCAAGCGAATTCCTAACGCTTAGCACGATGAGCCACAACGTCACGCCATTGTTAGTGCATGGTACTTAGCTCATGGTACTTAGCTCATATTTATATATAAGCTAAAATCTCAAACTAGAAAAACAAAATGCTTATTGGCAAGCTTAATAATAGTGGCAGACGTAATAGATGTATTAATATGGAATACAGGATTTGAATGCCATGTCAACCAGAACCTATCCTGTAAACTTAACATTTGTCAAATTTCCACTTTTCCAACATTTCTTTTTCGATACAGGTTTCAAACCATCTGAGAAGGAATCCAGTGATCTGCCATGGTGTATTATTTGTAACGAGGACGCATCACTGAGATGTCACGGCTGCGAAAGAGATCTTTACTGCCTCCGGTATTTCAAAGAAGGACATGACAGTTATGATTTGAACGACCATAAGACTTCAAAATATTCGGCACCTAAGAATATGGACTACGACTAAATTCTGGGAACAGGATTAATTTGATCTTGAACAAGTTCGGAAAAATATTATCGAACTTTCTGAATTCATATTTAACAGAAAACACATAGATGTCAAAATTAACATCTATTACTGGGAAAATACCAATTCGATAGTTGACCAAAATATTCTAGTTGAAAATTCTGCGGTACTCGAACTGAAAATTTGGTGCTCGAACACCTGAGTGTGCATTGAGTGAGACAACGTCACCCAAACCAAGATCTCGGCATCCTCTTGACCGTTCAAATGAGTGATGCTCAAATATGGACACGATGGCCAAAACAAAGTAGTACGTGTATGCGATCTGTCACAGTAGACAATCGGTACACAATGTTCACGACTATTGCGATAGCGGAACCGCCACAAAGTTGCGCAATTTTTGATGATGGGATTGCACACAGAATACGAATCCCACATAATTTGCTCAAATGTACAGTATCTGATATAAAATTTTTGGTACTCCCGAAGTATGCGAACCAAGATGGTGGACACTGGAAAGTGGTATGTGTACCAGGTTAGGGTTAGCCATAATTTCAGGTACAAATACTACGGGAGTCACTTGGCTAGTCCCCGAGCTCGTAATATAAGTAATTGAATAATGGAATAAAATTATGGCCTAGCCCTGTTGTGGTATAAATACTATGTTCTGGTGTCCGCCATCTTGGTTCACATACTTCGGGAGTACCAAAGTTGTTCTATTTTTAATCATTATTATGTTTATCTTTATTGTGTGCACATTTAAATAATTATTCTTGTTTAGGTGAATGTTTTGTTAATATTTTGGGGATTTTGGGATTATCTTACTTAAATTGCTCCATGTTCAACAAATAACACACAGAGTGTATTCACATTGCATAGATCTTGCATTGCAGAATACTTTGCAGAGAAACTGCCTTCAATTTATAAGCTATGACATATTCTATGTACCCTTTCAAGACCCAGTTCAAGACTAAGCAACAATTTTGCTCCTTTCATTTTTTCTATTTTTTTCCGATTTTCACAAAAAAGCGACGACAGCCGTTGGAGAAATCGCGAATTTATACCATAATATACGTTTTTTGGTGCAAAATTGGTCAAGGTGGCTTATTAAAATTTCGTCTTTCCGGATATGGTAACGCTAAGCTATATGTTTGAAGTTAGTAACATGTCTTACCGGTGAAAATTGCACACCCCTGCTCTATAGCCTATATCAGTGGTTCTTAAAGTATGGGTCGCGACCCAAACATCGGTCGCGGAAGGTTTAAAAATGGGTCGCGACAAGGTCGTCAATGCAAGGGCAATCTAAGAGGAGAAGGACGAATTTTCAGCTTTCCCAATGTTTCAATTTAGCTTCTAAACTCTGGTATTTAAAAATAATGAAATAAAAAATTTCATTCCTGGAAAGAACTGTCTTGAGCTCATTGTTACATCACAATTCTGATATGCCAGTCACGTGTATTATTTTTATGGTATCGGTAACCATGCACGTCGCTTGTCGTTGTGTTGACCGCATGGAATGTCGTCTTAGTGGATTAAAATACCCAAAAATGGGTGTCTTTTTGGTAATGAACATTGTAATAGACGACGCAATGAAAAAGCTCGCTTCTCGACATTAGATTATTCAATATCTAGAGAAAATGTGACTTCATCTCGAGGCACATGTGACGAGTAAAAAGTTGTATATTGCGAGAGATACCGAAGGCCAGCTAGGATGTCGTGTTTGCGACGGACAGCGGACATCTTTTCTGCTACAATTCGTGACAAGGCACTTGTGCGAGCGAGGATATTTGGCACTGACGGTTATCAAAACTAAGCTCGCAATCGTTTCGATACCCGTGACAACTTGCGTATTGCGTTAAGTAAAATAGAGCTGTGTATTGAAGATATAATGAAAAAGGAAATTTCAGTTTCATCAATCTCACTGAGTCAATGGACTGTTTCTAATAAATAGTTGTCTGTATGTGAGTCAAACTGTACTAACATTAAAAACACATTTTGCGTTTTTAGGATTGGGTCGCGAGTATTCATAAAACTCAGATTTGGGTCGCGCTCGAAAAAGTTTAAGAACCACTGGCCTATATGTTCAGAGAAAATATATAAAACAAACATGTTCGAAGACAAGAATCTCGTTCAAAAACTTTTACAAGCTGTTATATTTTTGATTGCTCTTGATTTTTCATCAATGGACGTCTCACCGACCCCTGAAAGATTCTCCTCATACTTCATCATTAAAAAATTTTCAACGCTGATTTTGAGAATGTTTAGGGGAGATGCACTGTCTTGTCCCACTTGTTTAAAACTATCATTTTCATTTGAAACAATAAATCACGTCTCGCTTATATGTACTTATAGCTAATTTTAGGCTGGTATATCGCAGTAATCCATGCTTCCGAAAACAAATAACTGGCTAACTAATCCCATAACCGGACGAGAGGCCGTGGTTCGCCATATGATTAAGCCGTCTTATCGGCTTTCCTCTCACATGGATAAATATGTAAATCCCATCTTATCCTATCCTTATTTTTTCATCATACATGAAATACACGAAATGAATACAGAATGTAAAAAGAAGCAAAAACGGTAATTCGGGGTGAAAGGAGTCGCGAGAAACCTATACTGGTTACCGAGTAGCGACACCTGTGATGAAATCTAACAGTAATTAAAATACAATGAAAAAGTCAAAGATTTAAAGAATATAAGAAGAAATATAAATCGAGATGACCTGAATATCCAGGCGACGCCCGATGAACGAAATGAAACAAAAAATACTCCAAGCACATGTGTGCGAGTAACCATGGAAACAACAGCAGGAATGTAGTGCGAAAACAGAATAATAAAATCACAGCGTTAGTGCACTATGGAACTATTAGTTATTTAAACAGAATATTAAATATAGCCTGAGATGAGAATTACGCCGATGAGACGGCATATTCACAGTCAAAAATGATAACCAGTGTTCCAATAAGATTGCATGAAGACAACTGCAAGTTTTGGGGTACCGGTAAGGCTGTAATACAGTAATATGCTTCGGTCAGTCGGTGACGGAATCGCCATAAAATCAGAAATACCGGTACTTGAATACATACTGGTACCGGTAACAGATAAAAAATTATTCTGATCCGAGGAAAGCAAGCTAACTCAACAAAGTAAATGGTGGTAACATTGAATAGCAGGGTCTGGTATAGTTTACAGGTTTAGTAAATTAGTACCACATGCACTTCTAGTTGGCCTGGCTCAACAATTTTCGTATATGTCAATCCTAACACCCACCTGACTACGTCACCAAATATTACATCATTTTGACGTTACAGTGGCGTAATAAGGCCCAACAAAGTATGCGGATGATCATCCAAAACGCAAAGACGATCACCCAAAATTGAGCAAGCTATTTCTATCGTTTTCTCGTCACAAGGATCACGATAGGAGAGAGATCGTCGGCTTTAATGAGTCTGTTATCGGCGGCGCAGATGCCATTTCGGGCGATCGTAATTATACTTTGTCAGGCCATATGACGTGATGGTGACGCGGTAGTGACGTAATTTTTGGATGGCATAGTCAGGTGGGGGTTAAGAATAACATATGCAAAATTCGTCTTGCTGCGCCCACTGGAAGTGCTTGTGGTACTAAACTATACTAGACCCGAATAGCATTGTAAATTGGCCAACATTTGTAGACTACCGGTACCTTGCCGCTTGGAATCATTGGTACCGTAACAGCGCCTGACTTCGGACAGTTCCTAACTTCGGACAAAAATTTTAAACCGCCATACCTTGACTAAAAAGCGTCGTATATTGCAAATTTCAATTTTTATATCTAGCGCTGTTATGTGTTCATCTATGCTCAGCTTTTTATTGTTGCATAATCAATTTTTTGTTAAAAAACGGAAATTTTGTCGAAAAATGACTGGCGGCTATTCAACGGCGCAGAGCGTCGCTTCCACTTAAGCTATCCTCGTCAAATACCATCATTCGGTAGAGGGCGACGACAATGTATATAATTTATCAGAGTGATCGCAAGATGTCGTATGAGATTTAAATAAGACATAAAATTCTGAATTATAAATTCCGTTGAAATATTGAGATTTCACGCTGCGTCAAAAGTTGAGTCAACCTCACATAGACCATTTTCGCTCACTTCTGAAGCGTGACAGGAACTTTGACGCCCGACACAATGGTGCCAAATTGACAATTTCTGTTCAGATTAAGACGACGTTCCAGTGTAATATTTCTGTATTTTGTTCGGTCCATGTGTGATTATCTGCCAAAATTACATTACATGTCTTACTTAGTCATGCATTGCAAGTCAAATTGAATAAAGCCTGGGTGAGTATTATTCACTCGGGTTAAAAATTCATTTATATTTCCCACAAAAATCACGAGGCCAATCCCAATGTTAATTAACAAGATTAAATTGAAGATTATTAAACTTTACAATTGGGTTCGCCGTGTGTTTGATATAAATTTATCACTTATAAAGATATCAGCGTAACATCAAAAACGCTATCCGGCAAGAATATTAAAGACTTACAAGCCCTATGAAATATTTCATTGTAGATTAGAATGGTTTTTATCAGATTAATTTGCATATGTTATTTCCTGATTAAATGGACTAAGGGCGTATAGGTCTGATCTGACGTTACAAAAATAACGAAGAAATGGAAGCGAATGTAAACATAGCACGATGGAAGTTTAAATAATGCATTTTACCTGTGACGTTGAGATGTTACGTTACGACGCCGATCGAGCGCCGGGTCTTCACACAACGATGGGATTACATCACGCGCATCGGAAATCTCTTTTTCTTCGTACGTCGCAGTTACGCAGTGAGGAAAATGACTGTCCGAAGTTAGGGCAGAGAGGGATAATGGCCAGATGTCCAGAAAAATAGATTTTTTCAATAGTAAAAATGTTCCGACAGACCCGAAATTTGCAAGGAATGTAAAGTACAGCATGAATGTTTTACCAAGCGATTTTGGCGATTTTTGTACAATAAAGGACCGAGTTATTGATGAACATAAGATCATTTTGTCCGAAAGTCGGGCGCTTTCATGGTAATATAGATAATAAAATGTCTCAATACAGCAATATGTCATTGAACGAATGGATGAAATAACCATTGAGTACCAACAGTGCTAGGGTCGCATGTAGTTTCGTACCTAACATACCTCTAGTGGGCGTAGCATGACAATTTTTTCATGTATCAATCCTAACCCCTACCTGACTACACCATCCAAAAATTACGTCAACACGGCGTCACAGTGGCGTAATAGAGCCCTTCAAACTATACGAACTGCCATCCAAGACGCGCAAATGATCACCCGAAATAGAACAGTTATTTCTCTCGTTTTCTCGTCGCAACGATTTCAATAGGAGAGAGATCAATAATGTCAGCAGTTCTTTATCGTCGGCGCCAATGCCATTTCAGGCGATTGTACGTATATTTAGCAAGCTCTATGACGTGATTGTGATGTCGTAGTAACGTAATTTTTGGATGGCGTAATCAGATGAGGGTTAGGGTTGACACATCGAAAAATTGTTATGCTACGCCCACTAGAAGTACGTTAGGTACGAAACTAAACGAGACCCTAGTGCTATACATAAATGTCGAAAATTCATAATTGGAAATGAGCTAGCTTTAATATTCATTCTATAAATATATAGAATATACAGATATAGCTATAAAATTGTACTTGGTGAGAGACCAATACTGCAATATCAAGGATCATGAGCATAGGACTGTTATAGGATCCTGTTAACATTATATGATTAGGCTCTGGGATTAGGAAGTTGGCGCTCACAAACTGGCTCACTCGTTCAAAACTATCTTTTTTATTTAAAACAATAAATCATGTCGCACTTACAGTACAGCACACTATCCAAATTCCAAGAATTTCCCTCCATTTGGCTCAATAAAACAAACACTCTATGTGTCTCACAAACGTGGAGCGTCTGGGACCACGTCAGATGCTTCATATCACTCCATGCTTGTCTCAATAATAATCTAAATTAATCGCAGCTGTCACATGACTAAAATTGCCCTTTTTTTTCTAAAAACTCTCGAATGCTACGGTAAAAATTTTTTCCTTCGGTAAATCGGATTAACTTCTCCCAAGGAATTCAATGATGACGTTACTAAATTGCGCTTTTTTGTAGTATTTTGCACAACTTCATTATATTGTATTATTACCGATATTGAGGGACAACAATGTCCAGACGTCTCCCAAAGGAGGGGTGTCCGATCATCTGTAAAATGGGTTTCTCTAGAACTGGACAATGTCACCCGTTCTGTATAGTGTGCCGTTCTGACTTATGTACTGATAGTTAATTTCAGGCTAATCTATCGCAGAGTAAGTGCGGCATCAATTTTTCATTATTGTAAGCAAACTAAAGGTCTTCAGAAGACAATGTCGATAGAGTTCTTTGATTTACAACTATTTTTTATAAACACAACTAAAAACTGATGAATAGCACGCAAAACTACCAAAAAAGGCAATGTTTACTACCCCGCTTAAATATCTGTCTGAGTGAGAGAGGTGTTTGAGCGACGGCATAAATTTCTATTTTTACGCAATTTTTCACTTATTCTTGATTGGTTATTGTTACGGAAATAAACAAGAAAATCAGTACTCGAGGAAGCATCCTTTGCTGAGGCATCATCTGACCAATGGCGCATTTGTGCGAATTGTAGTCGTACGTTTAAGCGGAACAATTTGTGCGAACAACAGATTTGAAGCAAAGGGTTTGTAGATAAATATGATGAGAATAGTTGAGGAACTTGGTTTGGACAGATATAACAAAACTTAAGTAATATGAAGTGGGATAATGTGTTTGAGATGATGATTCTCCAAAATGATTTTCTTGCAAATGGCACTTGCCCTGCGCAAATGCCTGAGCATATATTGACTGTTGAATTAATTTATCATCGTGTCATGGCCAATTTCTAATCAACTAGTTTTTTTGTGTAGCCTATATTTAAATATTCTACAAAGCTTTAGCGACTTCGTGAATGAGAATCGTCCTTCATTATGGGTAAGTATTCAATATATGGGGTGCAGTAGTAGTTGGGTGGGGGTGGGGGAATATGTAATGTCATAATTTAGAAGGATTAAGATTAAAATACAACATGATGTATTAACGAATCAAAATATGACCGGCCACGACAATGACATAGAGCAGGGGTTCCCAAACTAGGGGTTGCGACCCCAAATTGGGTCGGAGTGCTAAGTAGGTAGGGTCGCAAACAGGTCATGGGGTCGCTGAGGTAAGGTAGGGGATGGATGTACAAAACATGCTTATGCTATAGAAAATGTAGGTGCTTATTGTGACATCACTGTTCGGTTTTAGCTCATTTTACTTAATACCACCACATGACCAAACTCAAAAGTCCAGTGAAAGAAGCTCTGAAGTTCCATGAAAAATATATATTTTGATCTGGGGTCGCACTGGACACTTGAATGTTGTCTTTGGGGTCGTCCTGAAAAAAGCTTGGGAACCCCTGGCATAGAGCCATATGATGGCATATATATATATATACGACGCCATAAACAGGGAACTGATGTCATATTATGAAAAAATACCAAACTTGGATTCTGGCCAACCCATTAAATGTATGAAATTGAACATTCGAATTGGCGTACAAAATGTACAACGTGGACAATTTAAAAGTAACCACTTCTCTCATTTAATATCTAGAATTAGCTCCGAGGCGTGCTTTAATTTTTTTGTTTAATTCAGCTGAACGATTCGTAGAAGAAGGGGAAGCATCATCTGAGGCTCAAGCGTTCCACTCTGATGAGTATGAAGGAGGATCGGCACCAGGTGGAGCTAGTGAGTAACAATTTTAGTGAATTATTGGAAATGTTACCTTACAGTAGTTTTTTTTAATTGAACTGTAATAGTGAAGTTTAATAGTAAACTGGTGAGATGCAGAAAATATATATGAAACAGCATTAAATAAGGCACTCCATAAGTGTGTGTAACAATATGGAGGTAACTAATTTAAACCTATGTGCAGGGGATATATTCACTTAGCTAACACAGACAGTCCCCGAACTCGTAATAGAACTAAAACAAGTAAAGTCGTAATACAATTATGGCCTAACGCTAACCTGGTACCAACACTACAGGAGTATATTGAATAATTGTTAATGTGACAGTGCTGAGTGTACTGAAACATACCAGTTCTGAATCAGACAAGTGCAGTTTTAAGTATTCTGTGGCGTCTGCAGCTGCCACCAAACCATGGCGGTATTTCCATACCATGGCCGCTACAGCCAAACCTATGGCTACGGACTTTTTAGATGCCACAAACCAATGTCGAGCTGCCGTTACCGCGGCAGCAAATTGAAAACCAATGACAGGTAAAATTTTACTGCCGTAACCGCGGCAGGTGTGCTGTAAAGATAGGGCTGTCCCTTATGGTGACAAATATTGGGTAAGTTTCGCACTCTGTGGTTGGAATTGTAACTTGGTGGTAGATTACCTTGGGAGAGGAAAGTCGATAAGATGGCTTCCGTATGAAGTATTTTAAGATCTTCTGTGATTTCTTTCTTCAGATGAACGATCCAAGCAAAAATATGAAACTTGAGCAAAAAATATGAAACAATTTGATGTGTTTTTATAGGAGTTTTATAGTCGGAATTGTATAATTTGGAAAGCTGGGGCTAGACTTGCAAATCAAAAAAGGGGGGACTTGGGTATTGGGCTGCAATATGGACAGTAGTAAATCTGCTTTACTATTTTATAGTTACCTTGTGTCAGTCGATCCACCTCAACGCCTACTTTTATTTCTATCTTACAGGTCAAAGCAGTTCTGAAGTTCAAGCTCCTTTCAATTTACTTGGATCTCAAGGAGCAGGGAAGACTGTACCAGGTGACGTGACTAATTATTTAAAGTATGGGTTTGCAAACTGTGGCCCATGGGCCAAATGCGGACCACAAGAAAAAATTGTGTGGCCCTCAGAGAAGTGTCAATTGTTTATGGGGTGGCTGCGAAACAAGTTTTTAATTTAGTTAATCTTGTATGTGCGAGCAATTCCAATACCTTTGCATCACAAAGCCTATAACTACCTAAGGGCGACTGTCATATTGGCAATAAATAGAAATAACAGTTTTAGGTAGAAATTTCTGCAAGAACCCATAACAATGCCATAAGATAACAATAGCTTTTCCACTGTTTTCACAAAAAAGTGCGGTAATAGTGAACACTGGTAAAGGATCAATACAGCAGTTTAGCAACTGAGTGATTTTAACAACCAAAGGATTCAGGCGGGCACTTTGCCCTGAAATGAAATTTGATTTTCGCTTATAAGTTCCCCTCAATACTGCTAGAAAAAACACAATTTGATCAAAACTCTTTTGAAAAGGCCTAAAATGTCTCTAGATACTGTTGCTTTGTCTCTAGAATAAACTCATCTTATTACAGAGCCTTTGCCCTCGCTACAGAGTCTCTGCAAGATGTGCATAAAATCTCATCCTGATTCATACTTTCCATACAGATCAGTCTCCTCTGCATCCTCGTCCAATGGAACCTCCTGTAGATGAGGAGAGAGCGGGTGACGCTGAACCACTCAGACCTGATGTTCAACCACTCAGACCTGATGCTGAACCACTCAGACCTAATGCTGAGCCACTCAGACCTGATGTTGAACCATCTCAGGCTGATCCAAGACCAGTAAATCAGGAACCTGGTGAGTGTTGGAAAAGATTTCTGCTCAACTTTGTTTCAATTGTAAGAAAATATGCTCAAAACAAGGTCATGCCGTTCTAGCCTCACTCTGAAGCAAACGATATTCTGCTCCTAGCGAAGTTATGGGCGGCTACTGAGGGCCAATAGCTACTGGCACTGTTCTACACTATACTTTAAATTTCCATACAAGACACTTCAAGACAGGTGTAAAATTTGCAATATGATCCACATCGCCACCTAATTAGTCCCCCTCGTAAAAAAATTGTTTGTTATGGGCAGCCACTAAGGTGACAAAAGCTACTAAAAATGTAAATAATTAGAATCGTGAATTGAAATTTAGTAAATATGATTAACGCTCACCAAGTATAAGAATCCCATGGATTGCCTGAAGGCTCGATAGATCAGGGACTAGAACTAGGGAACATAGATGAGTCTCGTACTCTGACTCTGTGGGTGGAATTGTAGGCTCTCCAGAAGTTTGTGTACCAATATGGGGGTAACTAATTTTGTCCGCCTATTTTACATCAAGTTGTCTAAAGCTACTGAAACCTATGGGCAGTGGGGTATTTACTTGGTCAACAAAGACAGTCCACGAACTCATAATAAAACTAAAAATAAGGAAAATCGGAATAAACTTATGTCCTATCCTTACCCTGGTACTCATACCGAATTTCGTGCAACTCTAGCGCCCTCTGACGCTTGTGATATATGTATAGGAATAAGTATAAGATTTCCATGTCTCGTACTCTGTGGGTTGAATTGTAACATGGTGGTAGAGGAAAGTCAGCAGGCTTCTGTGAAGTATTCTAATTTCTTCTTTGATTTTATTCTTTAGCTGAAAGATTCGCAGAAGAAGGGGAAGCGTCATCTAAGGCTCAACCGTTCCACTCTGATGAGTCTGAAGGAGCATTGGCACCAGGTGGAGCTAGTGAGTAACATTTCTGCAAGTATTTTTGTAAATAAGGATAGGATTGACATATTTATCCAAGGATAGAAAAGTATGTGCGACGGCCTAATCATATGACAAACCAGAGCCCACCTACCAGTCCATGTCGGGTATGAGATTAGTTAGCCAATTATGTTTTGAATGCATGGACTTGAACGAACGCAAAAAAAGCTTGCAAATGCTAAAATTATCAGAGATTTTTTATTCGAAGCCGGAATCATCAATTTATGGCTTCATCTTCCTGGAAACAGAATCCTAGAAACCTGGTTTCCTCCATAGGAGGGTTATTGGGCTGCCATATAGACAGCAGGTTAGGAATAGGGGTGAGTATATGATCCCAATTACCATTTGAAAGGTTTCCTCCATACAGGGTTATTGGGCTGACATATAGACAGATGGTTAGGAATAGGGATGGATATATGGTCCCAATTACCATTTGAATGGTCTCTATCATACAGGGCTATTGGGCTGACATTCAGACAGCAGGTTAGGAATAGGGATGAGTATATGGTCCCAATCACCATTTGAAAGGTTTCCTCCATACAGGGCTATTGGGCTGCCATATAGACAGAGGGTTAGGAATAGGGATGAGCATATGGTCCCAATCCATCCATCTACTGAACCTGTTGACTGCACACACAATGAGTTGCAGTAAATTTTCAAACTGCTTTGCTTTTCTGAATTACCTTGTGTCAGTGGACCCACCTCAACGCCTGCTTTGATTTCTTTTTTACAGTTCAAATCAGTTCCGAAGTTTCAGATGTACTTGGATCTCAAGGAGCAGGAAAGCCTGTATCAGGTGACGCGACTTATTTTTCAAAGCAGGGGTGTGCAGACTCCGGCCCTCAAGAAATAGTTGTGCGGCCCTTGGAGAAGTGCCTACTGTTGATGGTGTGCCCGCGAATCAAGTTTTTAGTTTAGTTAATCTAGTATGTGCGAGCAATTCCAATACCTTTGCATCACAAAGCCTATAACTACCTAAGGGCGACTGTCATATTGGCAATAAATTGAAATAACAGTTTTATGTAGAAATTTCTGCAAGAATCCCTAACAATGCCATAAGATAACAATAGCTTTTCCACTGTTTTCACAAAAAAGTGCGGTAATAGTGAACACTGGTAAAGGATCAATACAGCAGTTTAGCAACTGAGTGATTTCAACAACCAAAGGATTCAGGCGGGCACTTTGCCCTGAATTGAAATTTGATTTTCGCTTATAAGTTCCCCTCAATACTGCTAGAAAAAACACAATTTGATCAAAACTCTTTTGAAAAGGCCTAAAATGTCTCTAGATACTGTTGCCTCGTCTCTAGAATAAACTCATCTTATTACAGAGCCTTTGCCCTCGCTACAGAGTCTCTGCAAGATGTGCATAAAATCTCATCCTGATTCATACTTTCCATACAGATCAGTCTCCTCTGCATCCTCGTCCAATGGAACCTCCTGTAGATGAGGAGAGAGCGGGTGACGCTGAACCACTCAGACCTGATGTTGAACCATCTCAGGCTGATCCAAGACCAGTAAATCAGGAACCTGGTGAGTGTCGGAAAAGATTTCTCCTCAACTTTGTTTCAATTGTAAGAAAATATGCTCAAAACAAGGTCATGCCGTTCTAGCCTCACTCTGAAGCAAACGATATTCTGCTCCTAGCGAAGTTATGGGCGGCTACTGAGGGCCAATAGCTACTGGCACTGTTCTACACTATACTTTAAATTTCCATACAAGAAACTTCAAGACAGGTGTAAAATTTGCAATATGATCCACATCGCCACCTAATTAGTCCCCCTCGTAAAAAAATTGTTTGTTATGGGCAGCCACTAAGGTGACAAAAGCTACTAAAAATGTAAATAATTAGAATCGTGAATTGGAATTTAGTAAATATGATTAACGCTCACCAAGTATAAGAATCCCATGGATTGCCTGAAGGCTCGATAGATCAGGGACTAGAACTAGGGAACATAGATAAGTCTCGTACTCTGACTCAGTGGGTGGAATTGTAGGCTCTCCTGAAGTATGTGTACCAATATGAGGGTAACTAATTTTGTCCGCCTATTTTACATCAAGTTGTCTAAAGCTACTGAAACCTATGGGCAGTGGGGTATTTACTTGGTCAACAAAGACAGTCCACGAACTCATAATAAAACTAAAAATAAGGAAAATCGGAATAAACTTATGTCCTATCCTTACCCTGGTACTCATACCGAATTTCGTGCAACTCTAGCGCCCTCTGACGCTTGTGATATATGTATAGGAATAAGTATAAGATTTCCATGTCTCGTACTCTGTGGGTTGAATTGTAACATGGTGGTAGAGGAAAGTCAGCAGGCTTCTGTGAAGTATTCTAATTTCTTCTTTGATTTTATTCTTTAGCTGAAAGATTCGCAGAAGAAGGGGAAGCGTCATCTAAGGCTCAACCGTTCCACTTTGATGAGTCTGAAGGAGCATTGGCACCTGGTGGAGCTAGTGAGTAACAATTCTGCAAGTATTTTTGTAAATAAGGATAGGATTGACATATTTATCCAAGGATAGAAAAGTATGTGCGACGGCCTAATCATATGACAAACCAGAGCCCACCTACCAGTCCATGTCGGGTATGAGATTAGTTAGCCAATTATGTTTTGAATGCATGGACTTGAACGAACGCAAAAAAAGCTTGCAAATGCTAAAATTATCAGAGATTTTTTATTCGAAGCCGGAATCATCAATTTATTGCTTCATCTTCCTGGAAACAGAATCCTAGAAACCTGGTTTCCTCCATAGGAGGGTTATTTGGCTGCCATATAGACAGCAGGTTAGGAATAGGGATGAGTATATGGTCCCAATTACCATTTGAATGGCCTCCTTCATACAGGGCTATTGGGCTGACATATAAACAGCAGGTTAGTAATAGGGATGAGTATATGGTCCCAATCCATCCATCTACTGAACATGTTGACTGCACACACAATGAGTTGCAGTAAGTTTTCAAACTGCTTTGCTTTTCTAAAATTACCTTGTGTCAGTGGACCCACCTCAACGCCTGCTTTGATTTCTTTTTTACAGTTCAAATCAGTTCCGAAGTTTCAGCTGTACTTGGATCTCAAGGAGCAGGAAAGCCTGTATCAGGTGACGCGATTTATTTTTCAAAGCAGGGGTGTGCAGACTCCGGCCCTTAAGAAATAATTGTGCGGCCCTTGGAGAAGTGCCAACTGTTAATGGTGTGCCCGCGAAACAAGTTTTTAGTTTAGTTAATCTAGTATGTGCGAGCAATTCCAATACCTTTGCATGGAAAAGCCTAAAACAGTACCCGAGGGTCACTGTCATATTAATATATTCAACTAGTAGTTTTCTTAAGAAATTATGTGTTTTCACTCACAATTTCTCACTCCCTCTCAAACAATACTGTAAGAACAAAAAACAATTTTTGTGGATTCATCTTCTAGAAAGGCTATCTTATATAGAGATTTGGCTAATGGATTCACCTGGTTACTTGTATTTGGCCCTCCTGTAATAATGGTTGCACACCCCTGATTGAAATAATAATAATACAAATATTTCACTCTTACATGACCTTTAATTTATTTATTGTCATGTATATTCTACTAAATTAAAGTTATGAGAAGGTAAAGGTATGAAGGGCACTATCTTCAGAAACCAGTTTCTGGCAACACAAAAGTTAGACACGCCTGTGACCATTAGTCAACGTACTTGAAGCCTTGGATCTTTGTCATGCAGTTTGGAACTTGGAAATCTATTATTACAGCATAATAAATCAATAAAGTTTATGATATCATTGTTAATTGAAAAGCGGCTTTGCCTACTCTAGAGTGGAGGAGTGCAACAGGTGGCCCGCGGGGCTCGATAACATTTTAGAGTGGCCCTCGTCAACACTTAAATATTTTCCCATCAAACAAAAAAACCTAATCTAACAGTTATGTTTAAATAGGCGCTCACAAGCAATGTAAAAACTTGAAATTTTGCCAGTTATTCCAGATAATTCAATACTTATACAACCGTTTCTTTCAGTTTCATTTCCGAAAGGAAAGTTTGATCGAGCTCACTTTGGGGACCAACATATTGCGACTCAAAATATAAGTATGTGTTTTGTTTTTCTATTAAAACTGAATTGAGGGGATTTCTGACAAAAAAAGTCTTTGCAAGATCACAGGGTGTAATCGGTGAGAAATTCCACCGACTCAGAGGATTATAGGGTCCAATTGGAGATAAATTTCATCGACTCGAAGTTGTATGAAAACTGCATTAATGAGTTTAGACCAGGGGGTTGAAACCTGCGACCAACAAAGAAAATTGTGCCGATTTTGATTGCGGTCTGCGAATTAAATTTTTCATTTGTTTTAATCTTCTAATAAATGTTACATACCCCTGGTTTAGACAATGACTCCGAAAACTTGCACTAATTAAATCAGTTGATAGTCGGGGATAAAGACCTGGTTTTTAATTTCAATACTCAAGTCCAGCTTTAGAGAAATAATTGAGAAAATATGTTTTATCCTGTAACAAAAAACGACTAAAAATCGCCAATTTAGTTTTTGGAGCAGGTTACAGGTTAAAATACAAAAATATAGAATCATAGAACTCGTTAATCGTGCTATATTTATCGTGGTTGTACAATGCATGAAATATTTCAATTTCTTCACAGCGAACTACTATGGTCCTGTGGTTAATCAAGATTCTGCTCAACAAAAACGAAAAGATGCACCGGGTGTAATAAAAGCTGCTGTAGGTTTGGGTGAAAACGATGGTATGTTTAAATTGATAATTTGTTAAAATATTGTGAGGCTTGCGAATAGGGTGACAGGGTATATCTTTAGGGAGTCATGATAACAGGCTGCTCAACTATTTTCACGAATGGTTCGCAGACAAAATTAAAGATTTATATATATCTTTAGGGAGACACGATAACTGGGCAACTCAACTATTTTCACCAAAGGTTCGCACACAAAATTAAAGATTTAAATATATCTTTAGGGAGACATTATAACAGGCTACTCAACTATTTTCACTAAATCTTCGCATGCAACTATATATGATTTACATATATCCTTAGGAAGACATGATAACAGGGCTAATTAACCATATCATGAAAGGTTTGCACACGAAATGTAAGATTTACATATATATCTTTACGGAGACACTATCAAATATTCAAAATTTACATATAGCTTCAGGGAGACACGATAGTATACCTATGGTTACATTGTCAACATAAAGTTAATTTTTTCTCGACTGATATGTTTGTATTGCTTAAAGATATCATTTTCGAAAATTTAGTATTGATGCAGCAAATCATTTGTTACAAGTTTAAAAATTTGTCTAAAATAGGGGTCTTCACAAAGTTCATTAGTTTTTTTTTAAGAATTTAAAAGTTTTAAGAATGAATAAATAAAATATCCCGCAT